TTACGTTAGTTACGTTTCGTTCGTTGTAGGAAGTAGTAAGTAGTACGTTCGGTTGGTTACGTTAGGTAGTACGTTCGTTCGGTTCGGTCGCGTCGTCTCTCTCTCGCTCTCTCTCTCTCTCTCTCTCTCTCTCTCTCTCTCTCTCTCTCTGTTTGGTACCCTTACGTTGGTCAGCTCTCTCTTTCTCTCTATTGTATGTGGGGCTTCACATAGTGAAATCTTTTACAAGGGAGAAAGCAGGTTCTCTCTCTCTCTCTCTCTCTCTCTCTCTGGGCTGTGGTGCTTGATTGTTGTTGATTTATTGAGTGTTGTCTCTAGATTTGGTTGGTTTTCTTTAGGATTTAATTATGATGTAAGTTGGTGTGCTTCAGACTTGTTTCAATAAGAGTTTGAGCAGTTGCATGTGTTCTTTTGGTGCCATTGTGATGCCCTTCACTTACTTATTGATTTTATGTTGTTGCAATATGGTATTGCTAATTTGTTGAAAGGAAAGACCTCGTAGAAGCTGTCAATCTTGTACTACAGAAGTGAGGTGCACCTTAAAAAAAAAAAATGGAAAATATTGTTTCGATGCTGGAAAATACTCTTTGATCATCTCTACTGATATAAAAAAAGTCGTAGGCAATGATTTACTTTTGGTACAAAGATATTACAATTACTTATTATAACTTTTCGATGTGAAATCTGATAGCTTGTTTTTGTCATAAAGTTCAAGAAAAATTATTTTGAACATTGAGCTCGGTCAATTCAATAAATAAAGCCACCCAATTTCACATACAACGGTCAAAATTAAAAGTGACAACCTTGTAGAAAAAGTAAATAGTGTTATTATATAATTTTCCATATGGATAGTGCATTATGCAATACATTACCTAGAATTCTCGATCATCAAATTTTAAGATTTTCAAGTGTTTACATATCCTTTTTTATGTAAGTTATACTTAGAGCTTTAAATTTCATAATTAGTAGTGGCTCCCACCATCATTATGCAATACATTACCTAGAACTCTCGATCATCAAATTTTAAGATTTTCAAGTGTTTACATATCCTTTTTTATGTAAGTTATACTTAGAGCTTTAAATTTCATAATTAGTAGTGGCTCCCACCATCCCAAGAGTTTCTGCCCTTACGAAGTGCATCTTCTTGTAGGGGTTTAGAAGTTCACCTTACTTTGTTTGTTTAAGGTGGGAAATCACATCTTTTGCTAAATCTTTAAATGGTTGTTTTAGATTATAACGGCATTCTTAGAAATTTTTTTTTTTTTAAGTGGATTGTTTTATTTTTTTGCTTGATTTTTATTGTAAACAATGTTATATCCCATTGGTTAAGCTTTGAAGCACCGGCTAAAGAAGCAGTGTTCGAAAAACAAGGAATCGGGTGCCGAATTGGTGAAAAAAAAGAAAAGAAAATAATTTAGTGAAAAAAGACAAAATCACCTGAGATGTGAGAATGAACCTTGTGTCTACTATAATTACTATAATTCGGGTGGTTCACTTCTGTTTTGGGATCAGTTTTGTGTATTTTTATATTTTACACTCAAGTCATATTTTTTAGAACTTCAAGTGTATTTTAATATAATATATTTATGCGTGCAGTTTCAATAAAGTTGCAATTTTAAACAATCCAATTAAGGCGCACCTCTAAATTTTATTATAACATGTAAGTTTGGTGTAAAAAATTCTTAGTATTAATGTATTTTCATATCTAATTATAAAATGTTAAACTCCAAAATGGTTAAAATCATGTAGATCTATAAAAATTTTGACGGTCTTGATAATGTGTTGCACGATGCATTATTTTTACGACTCAAAATATTGTTTTTTATACATTCATACATCTTGATGTCGAGATAATCAATTAGAGGGTCTTTCAACATTGAAAAAACCTTTTCCGATGAATTTTTGAGATGCATTTGTACTTCTACATTTTAAAGTTGCAATCTTATATAAATTTTTCCCTCTTTTTATCTATATATTATATTAAATACCATTCTCACTTCTCACTATTATACATCTATAAAAATATTAAAAGATAATTTTAAATAAATAATTTTACCAAAATATCTCTAAATATTGTAGGGGTTTTGGTCGTTTATTATTTGTAAATTATTTTTTAAATATTTTTATAAATGTGTGATGGTTAGAAATATAAACATAGCAAACTTAAGCTTAAGATAATATATATAAAAAATAAATTAAAAATACTGTTGATTCCCTAAAAGAGAGGGCCTTAACTGTAGAATATAAAAACATTTTTATTGATAATTAAACAGATTTTTCTTTAAATTTCCCTTTAATTTTTCAAGGTTGACCCCAAAAAGACGGCATCTTACCACACAAACACACACACACACACATATATATATATATATATATATATATTGCATA